ATGAAAGTGAGGAAGCTAATCTGCATGTTCTGCAGACCAGTTGAAAGACTGTCAGTCCAAGTGAGTACTTGCCGGTGGCTGATGCGTCTGCATGCCTAGGATCCCCCACAAATCCTATAAAAACTCTTCCAACCCCCACATGAAATATGATGGTTGGCTAAGAAATAGTTTAAAGTGCTTTTATAATTTTGCATTTAAATTAATAGTTCTGGTCTATATGTGGCAGATAAAAGCAACTAATTAAGTTTCTTTGATCGTAGAAGAGACAGCATACTAATTCATTAAGAGAACAAGTGTTTCCCCAGCACTAGGTGGTTTTCTGGGTGGCTGAAGTGGGAGTTCTAAAGCCCTGTGGGATGTATGTCTCAGATTCCCTGAATGTCACCTTGGTGGGTGGACTTGGAGTAGCTGCTCATCCAAGCTTGACCCTCAGGAGGCAGCCAGTGGGCACTGCTGATGGCTCCCCCTTCCCCACCCCCGGCCGCCATGGCTGCTCTTTCTGTGTCTGCAGCCTCCTGTAGGACTAGCCTGCGAGTCATGGCTTTAGGGGAGTTAAGAAAATGAAAGGTCTTCCCTTCCTGGCAGCACAGATGCCTGGAACAGGGCCGCAGGTCCCTGATGGCAAGCCACGCAGGGGGAGGGAAAGAATTCTCCCCACCTGACACCATGCTCCCACGCAGGAGCTCAGCCTGTGTTTGTCGAATTAAATTGAACAAATTGAACCAAGATAAAATCCTTCCAAAGACATATTTGGCAGCAAATTAGCAGGCAGGGTGGGAGGGAAGGTTCACCGAGCTGCGTTGTTTGCCATCTTTCCCAGCCTTGACGTTGCCTCTGTGTCTGCACCAGGTTTCCCCCGCTCACCAGTGTGGCTGTGTCAGGCTCTCCCTCCAGCTTTTGCTCGCGACCACTGACAAATGGGCAGGCCGGTTGTGAGGAAGCTGCGGCTCGGGTCCTGTCCTGTCCCTCAGTGTAGGACACAGCCAGAGGGACCCTCTGCCGCGATCTCCGAGTCCAGGCTGCAGGGGCAGGCCTGGTCCCTGGTCCCTCTCAGGAAAACTCATCCCCATCTCCAGCGCACCCAGCCTCTGAAACCTCCCGACTCTCCCAAGAAGTCAGCCTCAACTACAGTGTGTGTTTACTATTAAGCAGCTTAATTACAAATAAGTGGTTAAGTGAGATTAAACAGTTAGGTATAACTATTTTGATTTTGAAAACTTTTGATTTTATATGCTCCATCCCATTATTTAGTTAAGTGACCTCCTCAGTTGTTGATCACGCTGGGAAGCGGTTGTCACCCCCAGTGCCAGCTGGTCCAGGAGGCAGGGAAGTTGTTTCTAGCAGAAAGTGAAAGCAGGGACGAGCCCAGCCAGTGGGCATCCTCTGGCGTAACCCTCCGCACCCCTGCATGGCCAGTGTCCTTCATTCCAGTCACAGATGACGAGCTCGGTGACTTGGCCAAGATCTCACAGTCATAGGATTGGGGCCTGGTTAGGGACTCCAACCTCTCCACCCAGCGTCAGCCCCCAAAAAAACATGCTAACTCCCAAGCTGAAGCTCCCCCAAAGGTGGACCTGGGTAATACAGACTTCAGACTTGCTATTTTCTGCGTGGTCAGGTCGGGTGGTCAGAGCCGTTTTTGACAAGGAATTGGGAAACTTGGGCCGGCGAGGAGCTCCACTCTCAACCGCCCATTGTGTCGCTCGCTGCACTGAAAGCCAGACAGTGAATGGCCTAGAAAACAGTAGGGTTTGTCTACAGGATGCAGTTCACCTCTCTCTTGTATCAGTGAACCAAGAGGTGAAATTCTTCTGCCATAAAATGCTGGCATTAGGTATTTTGTGTTTTATTTTGGACAGTAAAGCTAAACGGTGAGACTCGTAATTTCCTGTATATGCCATATGTGGCAGTGATTCCTGTGTGCCTTGTATGAGCAGCTGGGTCATCTGTGCATCAGAAACAGCGTCTTACAGGGAAGTGTGAATGTTCAGCGACTATCAAGAACAGGGATGAGTACAGATAGGAGACTTGCTCATCTTGACAAGGCTATTTATAGTCTAAAGCTGGAGTCACTCATTCAACAAGTATTTCTTGAGTGTGCACTGTGTACATGAGGTGTCCCTTCCTCTGGGCACAGGGAATTCAGCAAGGAACAAAATAGACACGGACCCTGCCCTCGGGGGAATCCTGTTGTAGAAAAACAGGCAAACTTGGCCACAGTGTTCAAAGCGAGAGTCATGAGCGCCCTTGAAACCCCGTGGCCTCCATGCTTCCCGTGCGGCCCCGCAGGCCCCTCGGAGAACAGTCCTCAGGCCGTGCTGTAGTCTGCTCAAGGCCTGTGATCCTGAACAGGGTTCAAATCCTGCCTCCCTTCCTCCCTTCCTGCACACTGCCTGCCTCAAGAGAGAAGTAAGATGATTTAAAAAGAAAAAAAAAAAAGGCCTGAAAATGTATCTGGGACCAGAACAAAACAACTGAATACAAACCAAAGTTCGGAGGGCGTACTTCCAGATAAATCGGTTGCTGGAGTTTTCCTTTACCAGAAGAGAGAAGGTTTACATAGATGGATAGACCCGATGGATGCAACTGTACATGCAGCCAGACGAGGTCATCTCACACTTAAAAAGAGCCGTGCCTGACTTTGTTTCCACTTGGAAAAATAGTAGAGAAAGCAGGCTCTTCCATTGCCAAAAAGCCATGCGCCTTGATGGGCTCTTCACATTCTGCGCTGGATTGGAGGGCAGCTCGTGTTCTCAAAAGCAGTCGTTTCCACACGATGAGGTGGTTTCTGTACATAGCCAGGCATGACCGCACACCCAAGCTGAGGAGATGCTCTCTGTTCCTTTGTTCCTACTAACCAAAAATTCTGTGTTCTTTTGATGTTATGATTAATCTCTAAAAATTCTTAGTGGGCGTTTCTTTGCAGCTGTGAAAGGCATGGTCCGCCTTTCCCAGGGGCACCTGTGCTCCACGCTGACCTCCCTCCTCTGCCTTGCACGTGGCTGACCTCTCCGTCTCCCTGGAGCGCGGTTGGGTGGCTCTGCCCCATCGCACCTTTGCTGACCCTGTCCCTTTGTTTCTGTCTGCGCGTCCTGGCGGCGGGCTGTGCGGGCAGCCCTCGGAGCCCAGCGGCCACCCGAACTCCAGCTCGCGCGCCTCCTCCAGAGCCAGCTCGGCGCGGGCCAGCCCAGTGGTGAGTGTGCCCCTGCCCGCGCCGCTTGCCTATCCTTCTGCCACCTCCCAATAGAATAGCACTAATTGGGGATGTCAGACCTGCACTGTGGAATTTCTGAAGGGCCGTATAAGGAACTGTTAATGGCACTTGGAGTTGGGGTCTTACCAGGAAGATGGAAACTCAGTATGGGAGGCGGAGGGCAGGGTGGCCATGCCTACTGGGTGTGGGTTTGTAGTGATGAAAGATCAGAAGGATTGACCTCTGCCATTTTGTAAATGCCATGGAGCTCCCCAGTCCCCCACTGCTTCTCGAATTGTTCAGTATGTGTGTTTGTTTCACTCCTGCTTGTCCCTCAGCATGACGCGACACAACTTTTGCTTTGGAAAATCAGTGGCCCTACCGTCTGTCTAATCCCCGTCCTTTAGGTCTCGGTATTCTGTGTTTTCGCCATTTCAGTTTCCTCATCTGAGGCTTGCGTAAGGATGCCTTCTACACATTCTTTTAACAGCAGAGGTTTTGCAGGTCAGGGCTGCCCAGGTTATGAGGATGGGGTGGTGACAGGGGACAGGTACAGTGGCAGGGAAGGGTGCAGGAGGGGGCTGTGTCCAGTGATGCGCGCGTGCCCTGCAGGAGGGAGGGTGGCCCCAAGGCCAGCGGTGCCCCTGGGCTCAGGAAAGCAGAGCAGGGCCGGTAGGGGTCTTGCCTCCATCCCCAGCTGCAGAGAAGCTCGAGTGTGCTTTGTGACTTAGGTACCCGGCGCCACTGTTAGACGCGTTGGTGCTCAGGATGTGGCACGTGTTCTGGTAATCAAGTAGGAGGCAGTGGAGCTGAGATTTCCCGCGTGTACGGGTGCCTGTGTTAGGTGCTAGTGATGTTTGTTTTTTAAATTCCATACTGTCTTTTAAAGCCGTGGGGTTTCATGCCAAAAGCAAGTATCATCCTTTTCTAAGGAAGCAAATGAAGGGATCCCTGGACCCGGAGCCTGTATTGCTGAGTAGAGCAGCCTCAGTGCCCCTGCCCAGACTCCGAGGCCAGGGCCGGAGCCACTCATCCCTGGGCTTGCACTGGTGTTCTGCTGACAGGAGGAACATGTTGCTGTCCGTCATTTACACTTCGGGGGGGCAGGAAGCCAGAGATAGATGGTGGTGTGCGTGTACTAGAACAGGAGAGCTGGTCTCTGTGCAGATGAGACTGCCCCCTCTTCGTAAGGTGCAGACACTTGCTGGTGCACTTCTGAGGCGCCCACCCACCCTCAGCCCATGTGAGCCCCCCAGCTGGGAGACCAACAGTAAAGAGGATGGAAGAGCCGTGTCCTGAGCTGTCCCAGGCGTGTGCAGCGGACCTTGGTGACAGATTCCCTGCAAGGGCCGGGGCTCACCGCTCCATGCAGGACCAGCAGCAAGAATATTAAGATGTTCCGTTCAGTGTCACGTGACTTTGGTTTTCAACAAGTTGCTTCTTAAGGGTGTCACGTAAAGGACCAGAGCGCAGTCTGTGAACGAATGGATGCCTTTCAGGGCGGTCAGCCCCCGGCCTAGCCATGCCTCCCTTTCAGTCTGGGCTGTTGATCGCATGTCCCCTGCAGTGTGGTAGTCCTGAGTTCAGCGGCTAATCTCCGTGAAACCTTAGGACCAGGAATAAAGCTTTTCCTTCATAAAGCTTTTCCATAAATCAATTTATGTCACTCTTCCTTACAAATAACACTCACACTCACTTTCTGGAGAGAAATACAAGTATCCACAACTGACGGAAGGCCTGACTCTCAGAGGCTCCCAAACCCCCTAGTCGCCTGCCCGCGTGGCTCAAGTGAAGCGTGGAATTGTGAGGCCCGTGGTTGTTGGGCATCTTTGGGTTTATTCATGCACATGATGAAGTCACAGAGGGACAAGGCTCAGGCTAGTCACTTAGACTGAAGAGGTTGAAATGAGATACATATTTCCTTGTCATGTGCCTCTAAATTTGTGAAAACTTTACTTCCATGCCATGGCTTAGGGATGACTACAGCCAGAGGCACGCCTAAGGGCACCCAGTGTGCCTGGGGTCTCATGACAGTAGGCGGAGCCTGGCGAGGTCTGGGGCCCAGGTGCCTCCAGACCCAGAGCTCCCCCACCCTCGAGGATACCACTTTTCTCCAGGTGCCATTGTGGGAAAAATGCACTGGGTGGAGGACTTGGAGCTTTGCCAGCTCTAAAGCTCTCTTTTAATTCTCTGAGTTTATAGCTGAAGAGACTTACCACTGTGCTCACATATTAACTTCCTGCTGAGTTCTGAATGGAAGGTGGGCAAAGAGCCCAGTGTACAAGACAAGCAGGTATTTGAACTGATTTTCAATTTATTATGGATAATCAGTTTCAATCGTGTCTTCCCTGTGTCACCTGCTCTTTGACAAAGGTCAGTTGGTTGTGCTGTTGACACATGTAGTGAGTAAAGGTCGGCATTCCTCAGGCTGTGTGACACAGGCCGTCTTCCCACCCATCGGGACACCTTGTATGAGTGGGGTCCTCAAAGCTGAAGATGCCTGTATGTGGTCCCCAGAACAGCAGAGGCATCTCTGTGACACACAGGGCAGTTCCCCAGGACACGATTAGTGGCTGTTGAGCATCTCGAGTGGAACACAAGCAGCGATCCGGGTACCTGCAGAGGTTCCAGAGGATGGGGCTGAGCCGGCCCTGTTCTGCGAGCTCCAGAACTCACCGTCGTCTTACATGGAGTCTGCACCATTTCTGTTTCTGCCTCCGGGGTGGCTGCTGTGGGTGCTGTGCTTGGGGCTTGCTAGGCCAGCAGAGTGTTGATGGCCATATTGGGCCTTGTTGACCAGAAAAGAGTCAGGAAAGTTGTGCTGGGACCCCTGGTCCTCCTGCATGGGGGGGAGGGGAGGGGCAGAGCCAGGGAGAAGCCATGGGGGCCAGTGACCCAGCAGCCTGGCCCCTCAGCAGCACAGAGCAGGAAGGTAATAGGGAGTTACAAGCCCAGGTCAGATGTCCCAGCTCCGGCTCCAGGCTGGGGATCTCTGGCCAGGCACGTAAACTTCCTGAGCTTTACCTGGAGAGCTGGGGTGATGACACCCTTAAGAAATAAGACAACTGAAGAAGCAGGCACTGTTAAGTTCTCCTCTGTGAGTTATCCGGGCATCGTGGCATGTGGGAAGTGCCCCCTAGCCTGGTGGTTCATCAGGGAGCAGTATGAGAGAGGATAGGGAGGGACATGTGCTGTGGGGTGGGGGCAGCCCTGGAGGGCTCTGGATGTGGAGGGAAGGCTGAGCTCAGAGCAGCCTCAGCTGCCAAAGGCCCCAGCCCTGGGGGAAAACAGAGAAATGCCTGCCCATCTCAGTGGGACGGGGCTTTCTGGCTCTCACTCGGTGGGTGAGCTTCATGCTCTCAAGTCCAGGGTGCCCTTGAGGAAGTTGTAGTCCATTCATTCAGCCAGTGCTAATTGAGCATCTAGAGTGTTCTGGGCCACAGTGATGAGCAAATGGACCTGTTCCAGCCCTCACAGACACACATGGGGAGATGGACACTCAGCAAATGGGTTGCCCATGCGATTTAAAGGTCAGCAACACAGGCTCCAGGGGAGAGGCAGGAGGCTCCCAGAGAGCTGGAGTCGGGAGGGCTGGCCATGCAGGCCTGAAGCGCCCAGCCAGGCGGGGGCCCCACCGGGAAAGCCCACGCCCGTGGGTCACCACCAGGAAACCAGGGAGGCTGCTGTGTTTCTGAGACGTCCGTCAGGAGCATCCGGAGTGGAGGCAGCACATGTTGCCTGTGTGTACGCAGAGGGAACGTGAGTGATGGACCGTGCATCCGGCCCATTTGAGCTGGAAAAATAAGAGGCTGTAGTGAACCATGGTTTATGTTGCCTGAGGACATGGGGGCTGGCAGGGACCAGGTGGGAAAACAGGTCTTGAATTATGAATACGAGAACTCAAGGACAAGTCTTTCAGGATAATGTCAGTAGTATTTAAAACCAAAATTTTCCACTCAAATCGTAGACTCCGCTGCAATTTATATATTTGAAGGAAAATTACCTTTAAAATGGGTGTTTTCTGAGCATTGTTCACTGTTGTCACTTTGTTTCCTGAGAGGGACCGTGCAGTGACTGCCTCTGATCCCATTTCCCACCCAGGGCCTGGGGCTGTGTGGCTGGGGGTGAGGGACACAGCAGGGTAAAGTTTCTTTGTGCCCAGCCCCTCTGCGGGGGAGGTGGGGAGGGGTCTCCATACCCACAGGGTGTATCCTGTCTCTAGGAAGGTGGGCAAGCCTCTGGCGATACAGGAAATCTGGGATTTGAAGCTTGGCATCACATTCAGTGAGCTGAGACAGTAAACTCATCTAGACATGATGTTAGAAGATTGGAAGTAATAAAATATTTAATATTTTACTTGTAAGCATTTTTTTTTAAAGGAAGAGTTGCCATAACACAAAATTTCACAGACAAGTTTTTAGAATTGATCGTTTTCAGTAGATTTTAAAAGATGTCTTTGCATATACTCAATTGTGCTTATAAAATACTGGCATATTTCATAAACCTGTTACTACTGTGTTTTCACATTGACCTAAAATGTTTAGTATTGCTCAGGAAGTAAGAGTAATAAAGCCAACAAGCTGCTTAATGTGGCACACTTGTCCTGTCACAGATGAGGAGGCTGACGTTCACAGAGGTCCAGTGGCTGGGGCGGGTCCCGTGCTGGTGGGCCAGAGCCTCGGGAGCACATGTGCCTCACGCTGCTCTGTGTCCACGCCACGGGGTTCTCAACCGTGTCCTTCAGCAGCCACAGTGGTGTTTAAACATCCTTCCATCTATCCCGTTCCTCGTATGTTATTTTCGGAGAGAAAGTGCTATGCTTTTTGTCAAAGTTAAACACACCGTCCGGGTTACCTGTTCCTTTGTTTAGGTGACGGGGTGGGGCTTGATTTAAAGTGGGTGCAGTGCCTGGTGCCTCCCTGAGCTCGCACAGGCTGCCATCTAGTGGGAGCTCGGGGACTGCGACCGCTCTGTGCCCCTGTGTTGCTTTCCACGGGCTCCTAGCTGGTGCCCGAAGGACTGGCGAGTCAAGTATCCATTGCAGTCGGGCACACATGCGATGTGGCGGCCCTGGGAGCCAGACCTCAGGGCTAACCTCGGATCGGTGGAGCAGAAGATCTTTGAGTGTGGCTCTCCTGAGTTAAGAGCTGGTTTTGCATTTGCCTTCCATGGGATTAATGGAGTGTTTTGTAGGGTTCCATCGGGCCTCTGGGTTGGCTGATTGGCTGTCACACTGCTGTAATTTTAGAAATTGCTTCAGGGATCCTGCCCTTGGAGAGAAAGTTGAAGGTGTGAGGAGTTTGGAGGAGAGAGAGAGAGTGGCCGTTAGTGAGCTTCCTGGTTAGGGACAGGATTGTGAGGGCAGGGGCATCCAGCCAGCGAGGGCCTGGGTGGGCACAAGACAGGAGTGGCCATCCTTACAGATCACCTGCACCTGTGCTCTCCTGCACACAGCACTGTGCTGGCAGCGTACGCATTGCGAGCCGCCCCGCCGTGGCCTTGGACCCTGCCACGCACATCTCCCAGCCTGTAATCTGGACCATCTGTGATACCTGCACGCACAGTGGCCGCAGGGCACCCACCAGGTCTGCTGCGGCAGAGACGTGATCTTCACTTGTCACACGCATCTGCAGGGGACCCCCTGGCGAGGAGATTTAAGAATTCCCAAGCTACCGGAGGTGGGATTGGCGACACGAAGGGAAAAGCGTTAGGAGCGGCCAGCTTTCCCAGAGTCGGGACCACCGAGCATGGGTTTTTCCTGCGGCCCATGACCTCCCTAGTGGGCCGGTGGAAAGGAGCCCTCACTGTGCCGGAAAAAGGAAGAGGGAGCTGACCTCTGCTGGATGCTGAGCAAAGAAACAACTAGAACTCGTGCCAGCCGCAGCCTCTCGACCCCAAGACACCCGCATAGTGCAGGGTCTCTCGGAGCCAACACTGGTGCACCCTCTGTGGCCCCGTCGGCTGCTCTGGGGGCCTCAGGGACACGCCCAAACAGGAAAGATGTATAAAGCCAAGTCCTTGGGGTCCCACTTCTCACCTGGCAGATTCTCCTGTACCTTCACCGGCCTGCACGCACCGGCTTCCCCCGTCTAAGCGTCAGTCCCAGGATGCTGAAACCAGAATGCTCACATTGGCCCCGTGACGCGTGAGGAACGGAAACAGTTGCAGTCGGCCCCACGCTCTCCCTTTCTCACAGACCGAGCCAGCGGCAGCCGGTGCCAAGGCCCTGGGCTGCCCGCACACTTTAACTGCAGTGACTGGCGGGTGGGTTCATGTGATGCACTTTGGCCTCTGCTGCATTGAGACCTACCCACAGAACTGTAGAGGCCTATAAATAAACCCCTTCACATGCAGTTCATTGGCACATCCCTTATTAAGGGTCTTTCCGTGCGTGGTCGGTGTGTATTTTGCTTAGATGTCATTATGTTCCTGCGGAAATTGTCCAAGTTGGAAATCCACACAGCCAAGTTCTGCCTGGCACACTGAGCTGCCCGTGGGTCATGGCTGTGTCCCCTCTGCCTGGCAAAAGCATATCGGAGAATCTCATTGGCAAAGCAGTTTTTAAGCTAACAAAAGAGGCTAATGTTTTATTATTTTCTTACCCTCTAAATCCATGTTATCTATCTGATGCTTTTCAATATCTGTCCATTTTCCTCTATAGGTTGAAGAGAGACCAGAAAAAGACTTCACTGAGAAGGTAAGGAATTTCTGGGAGACTATATTGTATAAACCACAGGGGGCCTACTTTCTGGGTGAAACTGACAAGAGAACGTGCTACACAATCTCTAATAAAGATGTTCACCTCCGTGTGGCCCACCAGTTGGTGTGGCATCCTTTAGGGACTTCCCCAGGAGTCACTTCCAGTATGTGTGTGCAATTCTGCAGAACAAAGGAATTTACAACGGGCCCAGCTGTGGAGCTTAAGGTTAATCCAGACAAATTCCCAGGCATCATCCACAGGCCCCCACAGTGGGCTTCCTCCCCGTAATCCCACTGAAGATTTTCCAACTTGGAAACTGAATTCAAGGAAGGGTACAGTCACTTCAGTCTGTCTGAGGTCATTCTGGTCCTTGGCACCTTCTAGGGGTCCCGGAGCCTGTCCGGCCTGTCTGCAGCCACGCTGGCTTCCCTGGGTGGGACGTCCTCTCGGAGGGGAAGTGGGGACACCTCCATCTCCATTGACACCGAGGCATCCATTAGGGAAATCAAGGTAAGGCTCTCTACCAACTGATGACCTAGAGGAACTTTGATGAAAATAAGCCTTCAATATAAAAAGACTTAATCCATAAAGTTCCTGATTTTTCTTCTTTGTCCAGTCTCCCCTGCCTCCCATAAATACACTGTTCTTAAAACACCAAGACCCAGCTCAGCTGTGGTCTCCTGCGGGAAGCCGACCCTGCCCACCCCCCCCAGAACAGGCAGACCCGCGCTGGCCCTCTGCGGCCCCTCTGCTCTCTGGGCACACTGTGGTGAGCGTCCCTGCTGTGCTGCCCTGCGGCTCTTGGCCCTCTGCATGCCTAGCGTGTGTGGACATCCAGTGTCCGTACTTAGAACGTGTTGGGCCCCGGTCGCCCACTGCTCTCTCCCCACCACCTTGCCCTGGAGAATCCCCACCTCTGGTGGAGGTGCCCTTTCCCTTCTGTTTGTGGGAAGCCTGAGGAGACCTCAGCCTTGTATTTTGGAGATTCTTTCTTCTTGCACTGGAATGTAGACATGACACATTGTTACATCCTAACAGGCGGCACAGGGCCAGGCAGGTGGGAGTGCTCGGGGTGTGAGAGGTGCGGTATTGTTTGTTAGAGTAACTGGGAGCCTTGCATCTCGAGAAGAGACACCAAAGGAAGGCTAAGCTACTAAAAATTTGAGTCTCTAGTGAGCAGAGCCGAGGTCAGAGGGGGACGTAAATGTTTGGATTTGGCTTCATTTGTGGAGGAGCTTTCCAATAATTAAAACTGGTTAAGAGGGGAGGCTGCCACTGGTGTCTGAACAGCTGGGTGACCGTGTGCCGGGAGGCCAGGGAAGGGATTTAGGCATCGGCGGGAGTGGGTCCCCTGCAGATGCCGCCTGACTCCTGCACTATGTGAGAATGATTTTTGGCCCTTCCTGGATGTGCCCCGTGCCTCCCCCAGCCTCCTGCAGCTCCTTGTTGATTCCTTTGGTACGTCAAAGTAGACTTGCTGCAACCATAATTCGTCTCTGCTCTTAGGTGTGAGCACCATTCATTTGTTCAGCAAGCACTTACTGAGTCTGTCTCATGCCAGACACCAGAGCGAGGCGGTGAGCGGGGCAGCAGAGACTCAGAGCTCTGTAGACACGGGAACAACGCTCTGCGGCTTCTGTCTTTAGGATCGAACTGTATCTAGCGCAGAGTACAAGCCCAGAGAGCTTGAATGAACTGGTGAAGATGAGTAAAACAACTTGTTCCATTTCCAGAAGCTCTTTGCCTATTTTATAAAACGATGCAAAATCATGAGGTATATACCTCAACGTATAAAATTGTGTGAAATTATGAGACACACCCAAATTTTAATCTTTGTAATACTGAAATTTATCTTTTTCTTTTAGCACTTAAAAACGTGAAAAGAAAACTGCTGCTCAGGTTGTCCAAATAAGGGAAAACTACCCAAAAGTGGAAAAGCTTTAGGGAATCCCTCTTTGTGGTCTTGGTTAGCTTTTCCCCTTGACATCATTTGCCTTTTTTGCCATTTCTCCAGGAACTCAATGAGTTAAAGGACCAGATTCAGGATGTAGAAGGCAAATACATGCGGGGGTTGAAAGAGCTGAAGGTACCAGTTTATGGGCTCAATGATATTAACCCAGCTTAACTTTCAAAACCCCTAAAGAGGACATTAAAACTGCATGCTCGCTCCAAAGAGGCCCCCAGGCTGGAGAAGAGCTCACCACGGCAGGAATGTCTGCACGGGTGTGTGCACACGTCCCATCCCCCGGTGCCGCTCTGGAGCCAAGACTTGGAAACTAGTCCTCAGCAGGAGAAGTTACTAACGTGTTTTCTGATGCATGTCTCATACTCACCCTCCCTCCCTCCCTGTCTCTCACTTCTCACAGAAGCACACCATACATTTGAAGGATTTTGTTTTCTGAGCTTTCTGTAGCAGTTGCATACACATGATGCTTCAGTTAATTTACCTCTCAGAATATCTCCTGTCTACCAATAAATTAGTTCTTATTGCTATGCCTGTGAAATAGCCAAATTGTTTGCAGACTGTAAAATTTTACTAATTGAAGCAGTGTCTGAATGTGCAGTGCATCATCTCAGATTTATTTGAGTAAACACACAGTACTTAGAGAATATGGAACGGACCATATTCCTTGTGCCAGCCAGGAAGTGTAGTTGCTGCATCCCTTGAAGGTAAAGTGAACAGTCAGGGACTCTGTTCTCTGTCTTTGCTTAGGCACTTACGGCAGATCGTGGATCTAGCAATAGATGCCAAACTTGTTATTTTCTTTTCAGTTCCCGGGAAAGTACCCGAAAAATAATCTGAGTTCAGTATCAGATGATGTGTTTGTTGTAACATGACTAATCACTTTAATATTTGTCACCTGTCTTTAGAAAAGGGGGGAATTATGACTGGCTTTCAGCTCACATGTAAAGGGAGCCACTGAACCAGCCCGGGAATCACTGGCCCCAGGTTTTAGTACAGGCTAGACCAGCAGGTGTCCGTGAAGCCTCCTTCCTCGTGACCCCTGCCACCCCTGGCCACGCAGTGCCCCCCTCCCCTTAGCTTTGGATGGCTCACACCCCGGAGATTCTCTTCTCTCCATTCGCCCAGAGTCACCGTCCCCTGAGCCAAAGCGCTGCTGTACTGACTGCAGGACTGTGAGCCGTGGGAAGGCCGAGTTTACTCTGCAAGCCTCCCCTGGGCTGTGCTTTAAAAGGAATGACCTTTGTCTTCCCAGCACCTACCCAGCAAGACTTTAATTTTCCTGTGGGTTGAAAATCTGATATTCCACTTACTGCTCGCCTGTTCACAGGCACAGACAGGAGTGAGCGGCAGCTTGTGCTGGGCTCTCCTGCCATCACGTCCTGGCTCTTTCCCAAGTCCTGGGCACAGACCTTAAGTGGTGACTTCAGAGACCTGTCAAACAGCGCAACCCACTACAGCAGGTTCCTGAACCGTGCGGTCAGGACTCTGCTGCCCCGTGACCTGAACCTTTTCCCTCCCTCCATCGACCTGTCCCAATGACTGTGTGAATTGTTTTCATCCCTGGACACAGTTCATAACTAATTTTCTGAGCAATGAGAATCTGATCAAATTGAAAATGGGGAATTTCTGTGCATTTGAAATTGCCATGTGTTTCTTATTCTGGTTTACTTGTTCTAAGAAAAAAAGTCTAAATTTAGGCTGAGTTTCTTGTTTTGTTTTATTTTAAGGAATACTAAACTAATCTTTGTTTTTGTTTTCTTACTACAAATAAAAACTACGCCCTGATTTCTGCAGGACTCACTAGCAGAAGTTGAAGAGAAATATAAGAAGGCTATGGTTTCCAACGCTCAGCTAGACAACGAAAAGACAAATTTCATGTACCAGGTCGATACCCTGAAAGACACGCTGCTAGGGCTCGAAGAACAGCTGGCCGAATCCAGGCGACAGTATGAAGAGAAAAACAAAGTGAGCTTTAGTATGAGAAAGGATGGTGGATGTATATCACATATCATATATATGCATATATACATAGTGGTTTGTGTATATATACACACACATACACATATATACACACATACATACAGTTGACGCTTGAACAGCACAGGTTTGAACTACGCAGGTCCACTTGACGTGGATTTTTTTTCCATGAATATATTGGAAAATGTTTAGGAGATTTGTGACAATTCGGTGAAACGTTTTATTTTTTCTAGCTTATTTTGTTGTAAGAATGTATTACATAATATGTATAACATACAAGATGTGTTAATCTACCGTTTATGTTACAGTAAAGCTTCTGGTCAACCGTAGGCAATGAGTAGTTAAGTTTTGGGGGTGTCAGAGCTTACACATGGATTTTCGACTTCACAGGGTTTGGCGTCTCTGACCCCCTCGTTGTTTAAGGTCAGCTGTATAATGGTTCCTTTCAACAATGGTCCTCTGCTTGTCCAGGAAGCCCAAATGTCTGGAAATAAGAAAATCTTGCTCTCTGCTAAGGAACTTGAAATGTTTATACGTACAATTTAAATGTTGACTAGAGACGTTTTACAAGGAGAACATTTGTGTCTGGCATGTAAGGTACAGTCATGCCCATGGGCAAACACACCTACGGAAAGCCACCATGTTTGGGCAGGCATGATTGGGCACGTCCACACTTCCCAGTGATACACAGCCCCTGATTTTTGTTTTGTTGTCACTTAACACTGTAGAGAAAGAGTTGGAAGTAGCAAAGATTTAAGAAAATTCATTTATTTTCCACCAATTGGGAAAAGAAACACTCCATTTAACAGTTCAATACCTTCATTAAGCTCAGAGAAGTATAGAGTGTTATTGAGCTTTCTTTAAAAACACCTGAAATTAACGTGTAAATTTATGGTATCAGCAAAGAGCATAAGCATATGTTGAAATGAATGACAGGGGCTGTTTGGTGAAGGCTGGGCTTAGACTTTTCATATTTCTGAGAATTAGCTTATCAAACCCTAGAATATTGTCCGATTTTTCAGAATTGCTGAGATAAACTGAAAATTTAATTTGTAAGTTTCATTATCTTTTTATTTTTAAAATAGTTATATCCTCTAAATTGCAAGGGTTAAAAACCAAGGTACCAGTAAGTACATAAAGGCCTCCTGTGACTGCTATGGTGGGCTTGACTTGGAAGCTAAAGAAGTATTTATTCATGAAGCTCCTGAGAGCTGAACTCTGAAACAAAGGAGAAGCTTACCAAGAACTCCCAGGTCTGAGCCCGGAGAAGCTGGGCCATCTGCAATATTGTCCCAAGCTGGGGCCCACGAACCCACCAAAGCCCAATAGGGCCTTGTCCCAGCTAGGGGGTACCAGTCATCCCCAATCTTCAGAAAGTAGATGAGCAGACAAGAGAAACTCCCATCAGCTCCCTCCTGAAATAACCAAGCCCACACATGTAGGGAAGGTGTGCCCGCTGCCCCCTGAGCTAGTGGCAGGTAGTGGGGTATCAAACCGCCGTTAGGGACTGTGTGCTGCTGTGACCGGGCAGGGTGGGGCTGGGAGACCTGCTCTGTGTTGGCAAGTGACTTTGCTTCGCCAACCTCCTCCTGTTTAGGCCCTGGAGTCCAGGGTCAGCCGTCCCCTGTTATGAGCTAGGCTTGCCAGGGTAGACAATATTTATCCCCCTTTTCATCCCGAAGAGTATTCCTTGTCATACTTGAATGTAGTCCTCTGCATAGCTGCCTCTGGCCCTCAGCACACAGCCCTGTGGACACGGCAGGCACCCTGGAGGGGGACCTCCCTCAGCCACTGTTCACCTGGAAAGAAATCAGAAACCTGTCAAGTGCATCAGCTCCTCAGGTTCATTTTACAGTAAATTATAGGGGTGTCTTCTAGAAACTGCAGAGAAATGGGTTTGTGTTGTTAAAAAGGCCTTGGAAATGCTGACGGCCTGGTGACAGGAGCTGTGTTCCGAGGTGAGTGTGAGTCACGGGAACATGAACCGGCGGGACCGGAAGCCGTGGCCGCGGCTGCATCGTGCTCCTCTCCTCCTCCGCAGGAATTCGAGAGGGAGCAGCACGCGCACAGTGTCCTGCGGTTCCAGTTTGCTGAGGTGAAAGAGGCCCTGAAGCAAAGGGAAGAGATGCTCGAGGTGGGTGGTGGTCCGTTTTTCTTTTTCTTTTGTGCCTTGGAAGCATTTTGTTGGTTCCTTACTGAAGTGACTGGAAAACTGAGAGTTGAGGCAGATGCCCCAGGCTTCGGGAACTGTGAGGAGTCCCGCTCTTCGCTGACGTTGTTTGTCTTGGGAGATACAGCAGCCCCCCAGAGCCATCCACATCCTGGTCCTGGAGCCTGTGGACGTGCCACCTTACACGGCAGAAGGGACTCCACAGATGGGACGAAGACGGGAAGATCGTCCCGGGTCATCCCAAGTCATCTCAGGGTCCTCACAAGAGGGAGGCAGGGGGGTCTCAGGCAGAAACAGGTGGAAACAAAGGCCAGAGCAGTGTGAGGAAGGGGCCCCGAGCCAAGGGATGTGGGCAGCCTCTAGAAACCAAAAGAGGGGAGGAAATAGATTCCCCCGAACCTCCCAAAAAGAACCCAGCCCTGCCCACACCTGATATTCGCCCATAAGGCTCACGTTGGACTTGTGACCTTTACCCAGAACTGCAAGAGAACAGATGGGTGGTCATTTGCCACAGCAGCAAAGAGGACTGGTTTCGATTTGATGATGACTTCAGTGCCTGCAAGTCAGACTCTCACCCAGGCAGGGTTTCCTCCGGCCCGTCTTGCAGCTGTGGAGGAGAGGGAGACCAAGTGAGCACAGGATTCATGAGAAAAGAAAGGGCTGGTTCTCCACGTGTTGTCTGTTGGCCCCTTGACGGCCAGAACTCTCAGGTTATCTAGCCCCGGAGTTTTCCTTCCTGTTTAATCCTTTATCTGCTTTCTTTCTATCTGTTCGTATTCTTCAGGAAATCCGACAGCTGCAGCAGAAACAGGCGGGTTATATCAGGGAGATTTCTGATCTTCAGGAAACGATAGAGTGGAAAGACAAAAAGATAGGGGTAGGACTCTCCAGTGTTTGAAAACCCGTTCACCTGGGCAGTCTGTTTAGCAAATTTCGTGCTTCTAGAATCTTTGGTTCGCGCAAATGCTTGTATGAGTATGCATGCAACCCCCATGTGACACAGAAATAATAAATGCAGTGAATACAGTCACTTACCCATGTTGATATTAACTGCTGTTGAAGCTGACATGTGCCGTGGAGATTCTCATTTGTCCACAGTAACCGGGCTCCCCACCTCCACTGGGAGTGGCCTGGTGGCACAGGGAGGGGCCGGGAAGGCTCTCCGTGGCAGGCCTTACATGCACAGGCTCAGCCCTCTTGTGGGTCCCTGTCTGGCCTTGCCTGGACTCAGAGGGGTTTGAGGAGGCTGCAGATGGCAGGTGTGTGCCCCACGTATTCCCACCTTGAAATCTTCCTGGGGAGGCCTTGGGCCCTTCTCCCACCACAGGAAAGGAAGGGGCAGCCCAGCTGCCTTTGGGAGTGATGAGTGGGAAGAAAGGCCCCCCATTCACAGGCACAGCCGTGTTTCCTCAGGACAGATGGCTCCAAGCTGCAGCGCTCACACTGCTGGCCCTGGCACCACATGTACCTCTGCTCACGGTCTCCACACGTTTGCGCACGTCATCAGTGCATGCACATCGTGCCTTCTTTGACTTTGATGTTCTTATCAACACTGACTTAGGATTTTGTGGGAGTGTGTGTGTGTGTGCTTTAGGACCACTTTATGTTTATCTGTGACAAACCCCAAGAGTCAATGTAGAAAAATAGTCAAAGTTGCTAAAATAGTTGTTGCTTGGGGATTCTTAAGCATTCTTCATATTCTGCATTTACACTTCATTTAAGTGGGTCCATCCCTTCTGTCCATCCTCCCTCAATGCTGCGAAGCCGCAGACAAGCTAGAAAATGATGCAAATGAAATAGCCTCCTTCACACAGTTCATGCCTTTCAGGGAGCACGAACTGTGACATTTCTTGGCTGGCGTGAGCTAACTGAGGGGCTTGTCACCTGCGTTCTGTTTGTGTCTTCAGCATGTTCTGTCTAACGCCTTGACTCTTCAGTGTTTTACGTAGTAGCCACCGCCGCCTTGTTCCTGCTCCTTAAGCTGTCTGCTTACCTGGGTGAATCTTCTCTCTCTTTGCTCTGCTGCACACTCAGGCTTTAGAGAGACAGAAAGAGTTCTTTGATTCCGTAAGGAGTGAACGAGATGATCTCAGAGAAGAAGTAGTCAAGCTGAAAGAGGAATTAAAGGTATGAAGCCGAAGTACAGTAAAAAAAAATCCAGGGGACAGCAGCAAATGCCGGGATTCTCAAGAATGGACATGTTTTGTATTGGCATGAATTTTACGCCCCTGATTTTAGTTCTGTTAATTAAGTAAATCCTAGGTTAACTGACACTGAAGTGGCCTGTAAAGTGAATGTAGATCCAGGGGGGTGTACCCCTTGCCTTGAGATGTTTATTAGCCTATTTGATCTTGAAAGCAGCTCTGATTTCCAAGAATTTTTTTTAATAGACCGTTAAAATTTTTTCTCATATTTGTTAGTAAGCTCTCTGGGACATTAACTCAGAGTTAGAGGATGTATTTGTTTCTTTGTATTAAAGGCTAATTTAAGGACTTGTTTAGCTGGGCGGTGGTATGCATAAGGCTTGCTGATTAGCCTTGAGACCCGCTGGATTGTAGGAAAGTCCCACGCACCGTCTGGGCCATGTCAAGGGGTCTTTGCTGCTGGCTAGACACGGAGTAAAAAAAAAAACCCGCGGGCAGCAGTAGCGGGGTCAGAGCTCTGGGTGGGCAGTCTGCACTGAGGGAGGCAGGGTGCAGAGAGGGTACAGCCTTGGGCAAATTCTTGCCTGTCAATGGAAACAAGTCAGTGTGGGCTGCTTTTATTCAGGGGCGAAGGCCAGAGCAGCAGACCAGAGGGAGCCAGCTTAGAGCTCAGGTTCATGATGCTGTCCTCACCAAGGCTGTGAGGACAGCACTGGGGAACCCCTCCAGCCGAGAGGGGGCGCTGAGGGCAGCAGGGGTCATGAGGACATGAGGGAGGGCTGGTAAGGAGGGTTCCTGCAGTGGGCTAGTGTAGCTGGCATTGAAGTGTCTCACTGTGCGGTGAGCAGGGGTTGTGTTTCTTTTGAACATTCCAAGCATTCTAGCCACTTCTTAATTCTTCCTGTAACGTCAATGTCATTCATTCCTTTCAGAACATGTGCATATTTCTTTCTTTATCTCTGTCTCCTCTCTCTTTAAAGAATGCAACCAGGGTTTCTAAAGTAGAGGCCACTTTACAGTGGTTTGTCCATGCCCCACTCTGTGGCAGCCTGCAGGCCATTCGCTGCGGTCACAGACACGCCCGCTGAAAGTGTCGCCAGCAGCCCGAGGCCCTGCTCACAGCGTGTCAGGGGGCCCATCAGAGTCAGACGTCCCAGTTTGCATGTCTTGATAGAGTGCTTACAAGTGTGGGGCCTGGCACTTCTTTACCCTGTAGAATTTTCCTCTACTCCAGGACAAATAGTTTCTTTTTTATCATTCTTACTAAAATAGAGTTTGACCTAGTATCACTCAGCAAGCACTACGATGGGCCTGTTTTTGTTCCCAGAAACACGGAATAATCCTAAATTCAGAAATAGCTACCAACGGAGAGACTTCAGATACTCTAAGTAGTTTTGGATACCAAGGTCCAACCAAGATGGGGAAAGAAGAGCTGAATGCCCTCCAGACACCAGGGGACGAGATGCCAGGTAAGTACTTGCTTTCCTGGGGTCCAGGCAGCATTGGTTCACCTTCCATGCGTAATTAAATTTGAAGTAATCATCACTGATCAATTAACAATCACACCGCATGCCATTTGTTCTGTCACCTCACGGGGACTTCCTCGCCAGCCATGTGACCACCCGCACGTGTTGTCTGGCGTGCCTCTCTGTTTAGTGCTCACCACCTGGGGCTGAAGAATACGTTTCTCTTGCTTCTCAAAGCTGCCAAGTGAGACTGTGGATGCAAGGAAAACGGTCTGAACACTAGGTGACAGCTGGGACAGCACTGTTCGGTTTCCTGAGACCTGTGCTGCCAAGAGTGACTGACTTAATCTGTGCAGAACCGTCTGAGGGTCAGGCAGAAGAGCAGAGGCTGTAGAGTAACTTAGTGGACGTATTTGCAAGCCCACAACATGCACCCACACACCACTCAGCATGTTGGGGGCACAAGGGGCCTGGACAGCAGACCATGTCCTGGTTACCACAAGCTACCACTCGGGAGGGACAGGCAGCCCTGGGCGCAGAGCGCGGTCAGTGCGGAGTGTGCTCCTTACCAGCAGGAATCTAAACATACTTGCCCTTTGTCAGAGGTCAGGGCTTTGGACATCATGCTTTTGTTTCTGGAAGAATATAAATTGGGGGATCCAGTCGATTGTAGGAATATTTTATACAGTTTGCAAATATCTGAAAAGATTCACCAATCAACATCTGTCATAATATTTGGCAGTGGGATCCACCCTCAGAATCTGGGGTGCAGCCTGAAGTGACCCCCTCCCCCAGATGTGGCCTCACTTTCCTCTGGCTTCCAGTTGGGGTCCAGCTCTTTACAGTGAGGCTGGAATAAGGTCAGAGTCCTTGACTTTAATTTCCATTTAAATGATTTCATCCTGTTTATTTTTAGTTATGGAAATGCAGACGGCTGTAGGCCCCGGATTCTCAGGACAGGCTTCCTCAGGCAGTACCCTATTACCTCTAGGACTGTTAAAGGGTTACAGCTCTTTTAATGGGTTAAAGTTGTGAAGGAAGATAAAATAAATCCATTAATTCCTACCTTTCTGTTATGTACCTGAGCAGCTAGGAATTTGACCAGGCTGCTCTTGTTCAAATATACATTTTATAAATCTTTGATAACCACTGTGAAATGAACCTTAAAAAAAAAATAGCAATACCAGTTTTGAAAGTGATCTCCAAATGTTTTTGATCACAAATCCTTGTCTGTAAAGAATTTTGGAAACTTTCCAACATATATGCTTATTGCTCATTTATATATGTCTACTATTTTGTTGATATAAAAATAGACATTATAAGACATATATACCTATAGAAATTTGTAAAGGGTGAAGCAAAACTAACTAAACACAGGTGCTGCCACTTTCCCCATTTTTCCTGGGGTGTGTGCACCCCCCCCCACCATGGGGAGACCACTGGGTTATAAAAGTATCAAGCTTTGACTTTCAGTAATATGGTAGCTATGATGCTGGGGTTATGTTTGGAGAATCTAAAATACAACTGTTCGTTCCAAAGCCGTAACATGTTCTTTAATTCATGATTCTTCAGTTGGTGAATGATTGAATGGCCCAGTGGTCATCCTGACCTTAGTGTCTGCTCCTGCTGGGAAGCCCCCCACCCCCCGGGAAGAGAGCAGAGGCACAGACTGTGTTCCTAGGAAGACAGTGACCAGCTGGTGCGGGTGGACTTCTTTTTTCTGAACTGATCCCAAAGTATCTTCCTTGAGGTTGGCCTTGAGGCTGAGTTTCTTAATGTGAACTGAATGTCTACTTTATAAATTCTTTGAAAGCCGCTTTTCGAGCTGTGTGATGTTCAGTAAGTGCGACAGCTGGAGGAGTGAGTAGCCCAGATGTGTGTTTGGAAATGAGAATGGGGAGCAGAACCTTAAGTCGTTCTTAAACCCATCATTTCGGATTGTTCGGCTGCCTGATCCAGAGCTCTTCCTGTTAAAACTTAACTTCACCTCTGAAATCAGCCCACACACAGTGGCCCCTCTTGCCTCTGAGACGGGCAGTGGCCTGCACTGATCGAACATTGCTAATGCGATGGCTGCACAGACCTGGCAGGGGCTTCTGTTTGCGTGGTTCTGTGATGACTCTCTCTCCTTAGGAATGGGGTCGGGGGGATGAGAACGTGTGTTTACGCTGTGATATATGTTGAGTGGTCACCACATCATGGGGTCCCTTCAATTTTCTCAATGGTCTTTTAGGAAGAGCCAATGAAGTGGAGGTGAAAAATGAAATTGTGGAGAATGAGGGGAAAAGAGAAATCTTGCAGCATACTGAGCAAGAACAGCACAAAGAGGACCCAGTAAAGGATCGTATGGACACAGAGGTGTCCCATCCTGGTGAGGATGCTGAGGACCAGAAAACCTCCGAAGACAGTGCCTCCTCCCTAGGGCTGTTAGCAGGTGCTGCGCACAAGGAGCAGGTTCAAGACCAAGTTCTAGAGAACACCCCCTTCCTGGAAGAAACACAGCAGGCTCAGTCACGCGAGGGCACAAACACGCCCCACGACAGGATAGGAGCTCCCCTTGAGCTGTCCAAATGTCTGAGTGAATTAGATGGTGAAATCCAGGGTCCTATGAGTGGGCAGGAGAGTTGTAATGCCTTGGATAGCAAAAACCGAAGTGAAGAACCTGCAGAAAAACAGGAAAAAGACAAAGACGATTTTAAAACCAACTTGGGAGAGGCCGGCACAAAACCATATCAGGACCCTGCTCCTTTACAAACAGCTGAAGCTGGCAGTGCAGACACTGGGGGGCAGAATGTGAGCCCCATGGGGGTTGTGGGGGGGGCAGGGCTAACTGGATATGGGGAGCAAGTGGGCACAGTAGCCTCAAGCCCTCCCAGGTATGGCGATGGCACCGAAGGTCACGATGGAACGTGTGCAGTCGGTGGCCCCCGAGCGTGGGACCCGAGCACGGGGCACGGCCTAGAGAAAGAACTTGCCGTCCAGGAAGTGGCTGAGCCCAAGGGGGTCCCAAGTCAGAGCACAGAAGTGGGCGGGGAAAACGCCGAGCAAGAGGACAAAGAAAGGGAACCGAGGGGTGAGAAACTGACGCAGACCGAAGTCCCAGGCACGCCCTGTTCTGCAGCGGCCCAAAGCAGTCCTCAGAGGACAGGTCCCAGCGCGGTGGATGCTGGAAGTGAGCCCACAGATACAAGAGGACCTGATGAAGAAAAGAGTGACCAGCAGGCGGACGCACTGGATTCGTCACAAAAGAAGACAAAAAACAAGAAAAAGAAAAACAAGAAGAAAAAAATACCAGCAGCGGCCGGAACCCTTAACGAGGTTAAGAAAGAGTTAACTTTTCAGGACCCAGATTTAAGTGAAGTCAAGGAGGAAGAGCAGGTAGGACTTACTGACAGAAGTCCGGCCGTAGAAGCGCCAAGTGAGGCCGCCGAAAAGCCCCAACAGGTTGTAGCAGGAGGCAGTGGAGATGTTGACTGTCCAGAAAATCCTAAGATTGAGTTGGATGGAAAATTTAACCAAGACGATGATGTAAACACTCAGGCTGAAGGAGACACGTTACATTTTGAAGATGCTGCAGTTCCGTCATCAGGCACTCTTGCCAGTGATAAAGAATTAGATGAAGGTGTGACAAAGGATAATGGTGAAGAAGATGCCACCGCTCAGAGCAATCCTCCGGGACCGGAGAATGAAGAGGCGCCTCACAGGGCCCTGCCCGAACGTCCCTCAGGGGACGTGAATGATGCCTCCCAAACAGAAGGTACAGAAGGGCATGAGATGTCAGAATATCCGAGTCAGGTAGTCAGGGGGGCTCCCGATGGCACCGGTCCAGAGGATGACGACCTGGCACCAGCCGGGGAGTCGGACAGCAGAGGGACACAAGGCAGGGGCGAGAAGGGCAAAAGCAGAGAAGATTGCTCCCTGTCCTAGGCCGGGGCGGCGTGTTCGAGGGGGCCGAGGACTACCCAGTAAGTCCCAGCCGAGAGGCTCGTGTCCGTCACCCCCGCTGGGGAGGTTCACGTATGTTCTAGATTGAGAGAGATGCACCGTATGACACTTGACCACAGCACTAGCTACTACTTTCAGTTAGAGATCATTACTCATAGATTGTATTTCATCATTAAGGTTTCACCCCAGAGTGGAAAGACACAGCTGTCATCGGTTGAAGTTCCTGATTGAGAGCGTACTAAAAGGTGGTATCAGACACCTGTTTGAGTAATGCTGTTGGCATTTCTGGTTAAAATGGGAATCAAAATATTTAGCATTTGCCTTAAACTGATAGGAATGTGGGTATTCTCGTCCAGAACGGCATCTAATTGAAATGACCAAATAGCATTCTGAGATTTCCACATTATGAGTGTAGTTGATAATTAATGAGTCTCATTCAAATATGTGTATTTTCTTATTGGATTTTGTTGTGCACATTATAATCTACATGTTATTTTATTTTTGAAAGTAAATTTTGAAGGAGATAAATGGCCAAATAGCATATAGGTCACTGAGTGATAGGATTTTCACCTTAGAACAATAACTAATCATGGCAGGGATACCAAGTAAATGTCTGCCAGCACTTGAGGGATCTCAGCTGCCTTTACCTCGCCCAGGTTTAGTTTATCTCAGACCAGTACTTTCAAATCTCACTGGTGATGATACCTGAATTTACTTTGTAGGAAATTCAACTTCACTTCATGTCAAGTGGGTACCAAAGTTATTTTTATACAAAGATTTTTTTTAATCCTTTTTTGTGAAAGAGATACACATTGCAATTGCATTTCCTACTGCAGTATTTGGGTGGGGGAATCATTTCTAAAATAGATTTTTTTTTACCTTAAAATCACTTCTCTTTGTAGTTGTCTGATCATATTCAGAGGAGCAGTACAAAAGGCTACTATTCTTTTGCAAACTGCTGATTAGGCTATAACAGGATGTTTTAAAAGAGTTAAGTTACTTTTGGTATTTTGGCATAAATAGTCTCCTTGGTTGTTTCTCAGTATATTCTTATAACAAAAATCTTGTTTTGATTTTCCTTAAGAAAATTTATATTTTCTGTATAAAGAAGCATGTAAAAAAACCCATTGTCAAGTTAAATTAAAAAGTAATTGTAAAATACTAACATCACAAGGGAATGTTCATTGGGTGTGCTGTTGACACTTTATGAGATTATATGAATTCATATTACTGTTACAGGATATAACTGAGTGCAAAAGAGCAAAACCTCAATGGAATTTGAGGCAAACATAAGTGTTATTATGCAATTGAAATAAAAACATTTTATAATTTTACAAACCTGTGATTCCACTTTTTGGGTTATTTGAATTCTGACTGTGGCTGCTGTTGCACATAATCTCATCTTCAAAGTAGTATCTCTTTCTGGGACGCCAGTTGCCAGTTGGAGGTCTGTATTGCCAGTAATGAATGACTGTCTTCTCCTGGCGTCTAGACCCGGCCTCGTGTTGGGCCAAACTTGGGAGAACTGAGAGGATCTTCCCCTCCTGTGAGACTGTCGAGGTTCTGATGAAGAGCCCCAGTGGGAGGGACCTCCATCCTGTGGCTCTGCTCACCAGTGCCAAGACGTGGATGTTTTAGAGAGTGCGATGAAAATAAATATTGACTCTTTCTGCATAAGTGTCCTAAAGTAGAGACCAATGGGACTGAGACGTCCTCTCCACTTGTGCCTTATAAATAGAAAATATGAGGCTTGCTAGGGGATCGGGGCCAGGGCTGCAAAGGACTTTAAAGGGTTTAGCCCATGTCCCTAATGTTAGCAAAGCTGCATTCCTACTGGAATGCTCAACTGAGAAATGGCTCTCCTTACTGCTTTAAAGGCCTCTGGGGGAGTGATTCAACAGGCAAGCTCACTGAACGGCAAGGTTACCAAACCATTTTAAGTTTTTTCCTTTCCTTCCCGTTACTCAACAGCATATGTAAAAATAAGCTAGCCAGCGAATAAATATTTTTGATCACTTCATAAATATATGGAAGGCACTGGGCCAGTGAACAAACAGACAGGGCCCAGCATCTAGTGGGAGTGGACAGCCGAGAATTAGGCAGTTGGCAACAAAGAAGCAAACAAGAATCAGCGCCACCAACGCCATCTCTGATAATCTAAGGACCTGCATGGTGCACACCAATTACTCTGCTCCAAGGGATGACATCATAGCCCAGCACGGTAACTGATGTTCATAGGAACTGGTTACCTGTTCCCTATGTATATTCTGTTTAAGGCAAAGAGGTATATAAGGCAATTTGGAAAGATTTCAAAGTCAGAAGATTCAGACTCAGATCTAAGGATTGAAAAGTTAGCTGCCAACCACATCCCCAGAGACTGTTGAGGTTTCCCCTTCATGCAGAACAGAGGAATTGGTTGCTGGCACTTTAAATCAGAAAGCTGGGCTCTGTTTCAGCCCCAAACCAGAACATGCCTACTGGATGTAAAATGTGTGTGTTCCATTATAATGAAGTGTAATTCACAGAATTTTGAATTATAGTTTGTTGTGTTGCAATATACAAAGGTTGGGAAGCAGTAAAGATTTTTAAAAGAGTTTGTAGGGATGTGATGTGCTCTGAGTACTTTGACGTTTGGTATTTACAGTTAACAGGAAATCTAATGACGTGAATGTTTAAATTTCCATTGTCACTAGGATCCTAGAATACTCCTGTGAGTTACATGGTTTTGGGTCCCTGTTTTCTATGGGTAGACTCCTTTCCTAGGAGAACGCCTTACACAGGATGCCACCATGGCCATCGAGACAGGAACACAGCACTAAGATTAATTCCAAATGTCCAGGTTCCAGGAGGAAAGGAAGGGGTGGGTGTGCATGCATCATGTGAGACGACATGCTTATTCAGTAGGGCAATCATACACAGAGAAAAACCCCTCACTCTCTCCCTCCTCCCACCCACCGCCTCTGTTACATCCAGACTTACATATTTTTCAAGATGTTAATGGCCTCAGCATGGCTGATGTAGATAGTTCTCATCTGTGCAGACCTCGTGGACCCGTAAACAGGAGAAAAACAAGTCATCTTCAGCACCCATCCCAGCTCTGCCTTCTGCAGGAAGGAGATGCTGGGGAGCTGGCCCCAGCCAGAACGAAGACTGCCCTTGTGAATTACAGTCACCCCGAGGTAGCTCGAGGAGGGAGTGGATTTCTTGAGACCTCAGTCTCCCCCGCATTACCTTTGGGAATTTGGAGGGGAGAAAAGAGCTCATGATGGCTGAAATTAACCCACAGAACGAAATTTACCCTCCTGGTGGCATAGGATAAGCTACCTCCTCTCACTGTGCTTTACTTTGCTCCCTGGAAATGGGGTTCAAACCTGTCCTTAAGAGTTGTGAGGATCAGATCCAGGCAGAGCACTAGAAAGTGAGTGCTTAGTGACTGTGGTCATCGCTGGGGGTTGACCTTGCTGTCCCCTGGGCAGACAAGGTAATGACGAGCGAGCCCAAAGCATGCCGGAGGACAGGCTCGGAGAACCCCAACACCTGCTCCCACTGGCTGCCTCAAGGGGTCCCGTGAGGCTTTACCTCCTTGTTTCTCCTTTTGCAGGCCTCTAGGATGCATACCAGGAAATCGGTTGGAATTTAATATCCAAAACCTAGATTTTGTTTAAAAACGTAATCCTTTAACAATATTACTGAAATTTCTTTAATAGGCAGCTCATTTTAACTTCCCAGTGTAAAAGAAAATTTAATCTGAGACATTGTGACTTCATTTCTTTGAGCCTTGCTTCTAAAAACTGCAGCCATGGTTGTTTACATCTATTTATAAATTGGAACCAATGATGAGCAATGCCACTTAGTAAATATAGGGGAATAATAAGCTTGCAATATGCTTACTAAGTGTGAGCAAGCATCTCAATGATGTACCACTATTCACTCAACAAATTAAGCTTGATTTTTTAAAGCTATGAAAAAGCAGTTATTCATTTTCTCATCAAATTTCCTTTCTCTATTTTCTTAAAACTAGTTTTAATCTGCAATTCTGCTGTAAAATTTCCTTAAAAATTCCACTTCTCTCCGTTTTTCAGTAAGACTAAGGTCAGATTACCCTTATTTCTCATTTTTCTGCTAGCCCTATTATGACATGTTAGCACTGATTTTTTCACTTGCTATCTGGGATATTTGAAGTTGTCTACTGAAAAAGTGTAAAATTGTACTATAGATATAAAAGCTTCAAGATCACTCATATATTCAGTGTTTCTTATGATGCATATGTTTTTTTGTATATAAGAACATAAAATAGTGTTGAATAAAAGCTGGATTTATAACTAAAAAATTTTTTTGCTTCAGTCGGGTTTATAGAAGAGAAAGAATAAAACACCTGTCAGAAGCAGTTTGGCTGTATGTAAATTAACAGGCAACTCGAAGAATCATAAGTTAATCCTATATCATGCTCAACATTTTCTGGTTTCCTGTATTTTGTAATTGTGCCTTTCAAATTAACAACTTAGGTGTTTGGAAGAATCAGAGAAGCACGTAACTTGGATTAGGATGTGGTTGGTGATTTTTTATATGGAAACACATGCATTTTATATGAATTACTACCACTTTCCACGGCTAGTCAAAAGCTGGGCTCGAGAGAGCGCCGTCCCCTCAGAAGAGCAAGCCCAGAACTGGGAGCCCGGGTCTGATGGGCTCTGGGTCTAGATCTGGAAAAGTGGTGGGCGCCGTGGCTGGGGGCAGCCCTGAGGCCCCAGGAAAGCTCCGTGGTGGCGCTGGGCGTTGCTCTCTCACCCGTAGAAGAGGTACACGGTGGCGGTGCTGCCTTAGGGCCTCTAGAACAACACCTGACCTGACGCAGAGGGAAGAAGACACAGTACATGCTGGCAGCCTGCCGCCATCACAGCCTCCTGGCTGTGCCCTGACACTGGTGTGAACCCCTAAGCCCTCAGCCCTCCCCAGGCCTTGGTGTTGCTCTTTGTACTCCTTCAGGGAGATGTTTCTGGGACTTCTAGATGCTCATGTGTGTGCACACTTACATATCTGGGGTGGGAGGGATGACGGGTCCTAAACTATTCCTGCCTTCTTCCTCAAAGGAGTAACAGCCCTTGACAAGTGGGTTAGTGGGTATGTTGTCAGCAGACATACAATCCCTAAATATATAGTCAGAACCCTGATGTGGGTGAGTCTATGAAAGAAATGAGAAAGAAACACCTCCGTGATGTAAATTTGGGAATTCAAGGCTAACGAAAATGCTGCTATTTGAGGCGACTCTCAGTGTGTGGGTACCTTGCTGATGACGTCACACTGTGAAGCCTGTGAGGTCTTGTGTTGCAGTGCGGTCTGGTCCTAGTGCCCTTGCATGCTAACCCCACGTAGAAGATTAGCCTGTTTGCATGCGGTCGGATGCTGCCCTTGACGAGACAAGCATGTGAGGGAGGCTGACTTCTTTCCCGTCCTGTCTGTGACCTCATCACTGTGGTACGTGTGTAATGCCTTCATCACCACTCACTAACCCAAATGCTCATTCTCCAGGTTAGTGATCTACTGAAACGGCAGTGCACAGACTCACCTAAACCTCTTATCTTTCTGATTCCTTCAGATACTAGGTTGAAAAAGCTTGTTGATGAACGGGAATGCTTGTTGGAACAGGTAACAATCTTTTTATTATTTGACAAGTTCTCCAATGGGGCGCCTGAAACCATGAGCCGGAGCCCCGCCCTTGCTTCCGTCATCAGGGATCCCTGACGCATCCTGCCGGGAAGCTGTCCCCACGCGGGAAGCTGTCCCCACGCGGCAGGGGCTCTGAGTGTCTTTATCCAACTAGAACACTGGATGGCTTATGAGGCTCAGGGACGATGTCTGTAAGACTCAAGGCCGTGGAATTGAATTCAAATCACTCTACATCAATTGCTGCTTAAAATAAATATTTACGTGGAAGGCCTAGATTCGCCCCTGGGAGGCAGGGACATGGCTGGGGCTGTGCAGCACCAGCTCTCTGTTCCATGGAAGTCCGTCTTAGAATCTGTGAGCAGCACCCCTGTCCGGCAGGTATGTCTTTGTCGAACATGATCCGAGTTATTTTAATGGTTTACTTCCATTACTCTCTTCTACCTCAAGAAATGCGAAACAGTTGCCCCATTTGGTCTTTTTTGTATGCGAAATAGTTATTAAATCACTCTACAGCCTCTTTCTAAGGAAACTCAGTCCCTCTCATTTTCCTTCACAATCCTAATCAAAGGTATTTGCCTAACTTTTTACAATTCTGTTGAAGATTTCTCTCAAAATTGGGGAAATGAACTAAATATTGTAGGAGGATTTCTTGAAGCGCCTGTGATCT